AGCCACTGTACTCAACAGGGTGCTTGAATACATTTTAACTTTAAAATAAATAATATAGAGGAATATCTATATAGTATATATTTATATATTTTATATAAAGTTATATAGTAATAGTATTTTTCTTTATTATATACAAGTTACTTAAATTAACAAATTTAACTTTATACTTTAACGATAAACAAATACACCCAGAGCGATAAACACAAATTTTGTGTACGTGTCGTAACTGTTGTATAATGTCGCTAGTGTGATCACATTCTCTACGCTGGGGCGGCTAAAAATAGGTCCATAGTATGGTCATGTCTCAACTACGGATGCTGGTTAATTGTAATCGGGCAAACATAAGTAAATCGCAGATCCAAGGTAGAACAGCATATACCAGGGGATGAATGGCCATGGAAAGTTGGTTCTTCCTGCAAATGCAAACTCTGAATACCTGTCGATCTTCAGTTTTAATTAGACTTCCCACGATAAATGGGCTATGTCATGGATGACCTTCCAAACCCGACTTAAAGAAAAAAATTGTTTATTATAGATAATTTAACTTACACTTCTAACGAGCTTGTCATCACTTTGACGGTATCACATCCAAGATAGATCTGTCCAAAGAGATAGATTGTCGATTCTACTTAGAAGCAGACGAGACTTCCAGTCACATTTTCTGTGACTGCCCAGCCTTGATCTGGGCTAGAAAGAGGTCACTGGTTCGAGAACTACTCTTCCCTTCTAACATTAGGAGGTTCTCAATGACTGACTTTCTGGCATTCATTCGGAAGGCGGGTATATATATATATATTTATATTTATATATATATATATATATATATATTTATTTGAGATAAATGATATTTAAAACGAAGATTATGTACTGAATAGTTAATTAGTAACATTAATTTAAATTCTATTGTTTTCAATAGAGAGGTTTTTATTAAACAGTAATGAGATTGCAAGAACAACATTATATATAACAATAACATAATTTATATAACAGTATATATTAATTAAAAAATTTGTTTGTAAAGTTATATTTATATATATATTTTATGATTGAAAAGATATCCAAAAGTATACGTTTGTTGCCGAAATTGAATGGATACATTGACACATTCTGTTGCATATTTTACGGGTAAACTGCCCTTGTTGTACTTAAGATCTTAAGATTACAGTTAGCAGTGACTGACAACATAATAGCATATTAAAGGCGTTTTCAGTTAGGGTCAGTTGTAAGACTAAAAATCTGTCATAGTTTGGTCACTAGCTCTGGCTCTATTGTGAGCCAACATCCTAATCATTTCTATTTGTAACTATTTTGTTTTTATAGTAAATATTTGTGAAATTCATAATATAATATTTTAATTTAATTTATTATTTATTTATATAAAAATATTATAAATTTAATTATTTTATAACATCGGTAAAGATAATCCAATATACAACTAAATTTTTTTGGTAGGTGTTGTCCAACTTAATTGCATATTTAAAAATAATATTCTCATTATATTTATATAATGGCTCTATTATTATATATGTAGTAATTAGTATAATTGTTGAAAAAAGCAAAGTATAATTGTTAAGCAAATTAATTTCCATAAAAGGTTAGGAAATTAAATTAAAAGTTACACTGCATTAAGATAATAATATTCAATAAAAAAATAAAATGTAAACAGCGCTATGTAGAATTAGTAACTACTAATTATAATTAATAGTTATCAAGATATAAGAAATTAAAAGACTAAGGAATTTTATCATTTTTTATAATATATAAAAATTTAAATCTATTTTTATATGAAATCAAAAATTCTTACATTATAATCATTCATAAAAATCATGATTAGGTGAAGAACTTATGACATATTAAACTTTTTTATTAATAATACTTTATAAAAAATTATATACTTAAGTACTTAAATTTAGATTAATGAAAAAATTGTAAGTCGAAATTAAAGAATAGAAACCTTTTATGACAAAAATTCCTAACACATTGATTAATTTTTAATCAATGATAGAAGTTAGTATTACCTTTAAGTTATTTACTCAGTGCTATTGAAAACCCATTATCATTATGAAAAAAAGTTTTGCGTACTATCAAAATCGTATGATATTTGGACGATTAAAAAAGAAATTTTTGAATTTGAAGTAAGTGTTCTTCAGAATGTTGGTGCCCAGCTTTTTTGATGGTTCTTATGTCCACAAAACGTTTTCTTTTCAGCGACTAATGCATTTTTGTGGAAAAGGTAAAAGTCACACGGTGCCAAATCAGATGAATACAGAAAGCGGTTGACAGTCAAAATGAAATTTTCAATCGTAAATGTCTTTCACCTGATAATAAATTTCTGTTGTCAGTCAACTTGTCCGACTATACACACACTTTTCATTTTTGGTCAAAATAAGATTAATTGATACTTTTTGGTGTACTCAACTCAAATTTAAACATTTTGTTTTTCATTTATATCCTAGCGTACATTTCAAGTAGTATTTTTTTATTATTTTGTTTTTTATATCCTTGAACTTTTTGACCTACAGTATATAGATATATTTAATTCATCATTTAGAATAAATTCAATGTACACTCTTGACGGAGCATAGACAGTATCAAACTCTTTTCAATTTAAACGATTTTATGCCAAGTGTTTGTTTTCAGATCAAATATCTCTAAGTGATAGATAGGTGCCCTCTCCTTCATGGGCTCACATTCCTCACTGGCGGATTCCATATCAATGCTATTTTCACTTTATCATTGTGAGGGTTTTTTAAAGTAGGCAACATGCACACTGTACAAATCAAGTTGATAGATGGCTGTTCTCTCCTTGATGAGCTTAACACGTTTCATTCCAATGCTGTTTTTTCGCTATAGCATAATGATACTTTCTAAAATAATGCCCAACGCAATTCCATTATCTTCTTTTTATTACCTCCCCGAAAAAATTGTGCAAAACCAGCTGATAGATGTAGGTAACCTCTCTTTCATGTACTTTGCGGGTTTTATTCTAGCGCTATTTTCAATACATAGGTCTGATGTGGTGTATCCAACTGCATTATCTTCTTTTTATTTCCCTCTCGATAGACATCGTATTCGTCAACGAATATAGATCTGTTTTGGAAACAATGTCTGGTCAAAAAAATCTGTATATATATAGCCACATTGTAATTTAATTTTTAGCGATGTTTACTACTGAATGTCTCGCACATGTCTACATATCATTCTATTATATTTTATATCCATAAATAATACTGAATGTTCTTTTACAAATAATAAATAAATAAAAAATATATATATAGAAGAGTATATCACTTATGAACTCTACCGTGAGATAAACAATCAACATCATTATCTCGATTCCACTAAAACTTAACATATATGTATAAGTCTTACCATGTTTTCTTCATCACATTCATTTTCTCTATTAATTTCATTTATCTTTTTAATATACACCGTTGACGTTTCGAAAATGGAACCCAATTTATTATTTGTTACTGAATGTATCTAGTGGTTTGGTGTAGATGTAACTAATATTTTTAACTATACTATATGTAGCTATATATTGATGATCTGCTCAGTTAATTTAAAATTAGAAGATAAAACTTATTGATGATAAAAGCAAATCATCAGATCATCTTTGCTATATGGTTGTGTTGCTTTTAGTAAATACTTTGCTAAATACTTTACTCTTAAAAAACATCACATAAGGAAGATATTCAAAATATCCTATTTTAGAAACTCTGATATTTATAGTGAACATTTTATTCAAAATGATACCAAGTATATAAAGCTTAGAGCGGGTAAATTATTCAGCAATATAGTTGGTCATCTTTATAGGTCTTTTACGCCTTTTAAAAGATTTTAAGCGATGGAGAGAAAATTTGTTAATAATTATTGTGTCATAAAAGGATTTCATAATAAGGAACACGAGGTAGGAGTAAAGGTGTTAGGTATTATCAAAATTGTTGAACCACAATTTACAAACATAGTGCAGCTTCAGTTGTAGAATCTACGTTTATTAGTCAAAATGGTCTAATGGAAGAAAAATTGAAATTGCTCGATTTTGTAAATGCACACACTAATGCGGAATTGCACTCTCCCAAATCAAATACAATATATATTTCGTCCGGAAGATATGCTAGGCTTCAAACTATACTTTAATGAAAGCAATTCAATAACTTATGTTCAGAATATTATGGAGCTCTTATTACAGTGGAACATCCAAGTGCTCTCAGACACTATAAATAAAAGTGTTTTAAACATTAACTCGCGTTTTATTAATCAAAGAAGAAAAAATGATATAAAGTTTTTATAATATATATATATAAAGAATTTACTTTAATAGAACCTACTGACGCATGCTAATGTGGCTTGAGTATAAATACCAATTGTTAAAAATACTTGCATACTTTTCGGCTTATTCAGTGCTTCATTTTAATAAAGTTTAAGCTCGAACTATCTAGTGTATAATATATGACAGTTTTTGATATATATGATATAAATATTATGAAATATAATTAACTATAAGTTCTTTTTGCTTTTAAACTATAGTAAAATAATTTTCCTTAAAACGACTTCTTCTGTTGTAATATAATAGGGATATTTTGACTGAACTCAGTGATTCAAAAAATTGTTTTATACAATTTATAATGCTTCTTCGTCAGTAATTTTATAAAAATAAATTATACGTAAAAGTTTACAAAGTACCAAATTACTGACTTCAGTTGGAATAATCCTAATATTTATGGTAATGTGAGTCAGTTCTACTATTTTATGAACTACCTACGCTATTGTTGGCATTCTCTGACTAATAAATCCTTATGTTGGCTATATACACATAACTATATATAGCAATATGTACTATTTAATGCAGCACATAGTCAACTATTTCATAATAAATGCTCAGAACTATTAACATAAAACGTTGTTTTAACTTGAATTGCAGTATTTGACTTACGTGAATTTCCTTCTTTGGTGCACATGAAGACATTTAACGTTCTATGTTTAACGTTTCATTGCAGCTTTTCTCAATTGTTGTTTTCGGTTGTATATCATCGGAGGGTTGGCGTGAGGAGAATGGCAAAGACGTATGTCTATTTAATGGTGATGGAATGGCTTGCAAGTATGGCAACACAATTGGATTCTTTGGTTTCTTGGCGTCGATGGCATTCATTGCTGGTGAATTTCTGTTTGAGCGCATGTCATCGGTGAAGAGCAGAAAACGTTATGTGATGGCGGACATGGGCTTTTCAGGTCAGTGCTTAAGTACCTCTTTTATTTAACTTTTGCTCTATAAAATACTATAATACATATGTATATATTTAAAATGCAGCCGATTTAATTGTTTTACATTTCTTTTGTTCTATTTATTTATTCAGCATTCTGGACTTTTATGTATTTCATTGCATTTATTTATTTATGGTCACAATGGAGTTCAGCTCCAATGCCTCCAGGCGGTATTGGTGCTAGCAATATGCAAGCATCAATTGTTTTTTGTTTCTTCTCTATATTCACATGGGTAAGCTGATGTCATTGTCTTATAGAAATTAATTTAAATACAATATTAATCTCACATCTCATATATATATATACATATAGGCTTTATGTGCGTTTCTGGCTTATAAACGTTTTCTCATTGGAGCTGGCGATGAATTTACCTCAGCCTTTGAAACAGATCCAGCAAATGTGGTGCATCAGCAAGCGTACACAAGCTATTCAATGGATAATGATAATGATCAATATAGTGCATCTCCATTCAGTGGACAACAAGGTAAATGTTATTCCATTTTAAATGGAAATAAATATTATATAATAGACATAAAATTTGTATTAATTGCAATTTGTACACTGAAAAGAGACAGTTTTATTAAAAAATAAACAATTTAAACACTTTTATATTAAAACACTTAACTTTTTAGTTCAATACGAACTCAACGCGTTTTGCCAATCGATGCTGGATAAAAATGTTTTACAATTGTTATAGCTTATGTGCTGATTAAGATATAATAGTTGTATAATACTAGGTTGATTGATAACTACCCGACTTCACAACAGGTGGCAGCGCTGGAACAAAATCAATTATATTTTGTATATCCGGCAAGTTTTAAACGACAGCTGTAAAAGTTGCGACTTCATAAAATGTTTGGTTAGCTTTTTGATGCTGCAACCTTGCAGCATCACTAAAAACAATAAATGATTAGAAAATTACATTTGAACGTCATCATACTAGTGTTTTTGATGGAGACCGTCCGGGTCATCCAGAAGAGGTCACAGTCAAACGATGTTGGACGATCCAAAAACTGTATTTGTAAGATAGCAAAGATGACAACCATATCATATGAACGTGTATCGAATATTTAATATGAATATTTGGGTATGAAAAAGCTTTTGGCAAGATGGGTGCCACGTTTGCTCACATATTGACCAAAAACGACAACGATTTCGTCATTCAAAACATTATTTGGAAATGTTTATACACAATCTAGCTCACAGTCAGCATCGAGTAGTGACGATTGATGAAACATGGATACATTACTTCACATTTAAGGGCAAACAAAAAACCATGTTTTCCCATGAGAATGAGTAAAGCCCTGGGGTTTCCTCCTAAACGACCATGAACTTAACAATCAATTGGAAAAGGTTTGGTTTCCATATTTTGGATTCAAGTGGAATAATTTTTATAAACTATTTGGAAAAAACAGTAATATTAGTCTTCTATTATATACTATTGGATCGATTGAATGAGGAAATCAAGAAAAACCGACCACATTTGTCGAAGAAAAATTCTTTTTTGAAGAATAAAGCACTCGCTTACACTTCAATGAAAACCATGGCAAAATTAAATAAATTACGATACGAATTGCTTCCTAACCCAATGTTTTCTGCAGATTTGGGTTCCAGGTGAACCCACCTGTTTCCAAACTTGTTGAGATGGCTCCAGTGATAGAGATTTGCAATTTAATGAAACTAAGGTATTTTTTTGGGGGCTTGATAAATCATATTAATTAAAATGTATCCAAACATTGAAAGATCGTTGAACTCGGTCTTTCGAACGAAAAGAGGACTATATTGCAGCATATATTCTTGCTAGAGCAGAATAAACGCACAAATGCTATATATTTAAGCGAATATTTATTTTATTATATTCCGACAATTTCTTCAGCCGAAAACTAGAAATGTAAATTTTCTAATTTTTCTAATAATAATGCATTTTTATTATAATTATGATTGCCGCCATGCATTAATACTAACGCTATATACTTATATCATTTGCTACTTTGGCCGGGTATTATAGTTATAGTTATAACATTTGGCAATACTTAAAACAGCTGTATGGTCATCCAAAAATTCAATTATTTAAAAATAAATAAAAATATTGTTGTTGCTATTCGCTACTGTTTGAAACACAATTTTAGTTTAAAAATCAAAATAATGAATGAGGTTATTATGAGTTATTATAGTAATAAGTAAGATTATTATAAGATATTATAATAATAACTGACAATCGTCAGAACTGATTTGTTTATAATAATAATTTTAATTAAAATTTTTTTTTTTGGTTTTGCTCTTTCAGGCATGGATCAACAAGGCATGGAATATCAACAACCCACCTATTAGAATACAACATTTCACTAGTTAAAATAAATAAAAATTAATTTCAGGAATGATAATTAATTAAACAAAATGTTTTCAAAAATATTTATATTTACAAAATAGAAAAAAATACATATTTCAAAATAAGATACACCGACAAAATACGTATAAAACTGTACTGTATAAAATATTCAACACAAAAAATGGAACATCTAAAAAATTATTTAATTAAAGAATAAATTTTAATATTTTATATAAAAAAGTGAACAATAAAAATTAAAGAATTTGCATATAACAAGGAATTACACTGGAAATATTTATCCTGACAAATGTATTTACAGCTTCTGCTTTATATGGAAAAATAAATATATCTTATGCATAAGTTTAAACTGTAAGGAAATTTATTATAAAAGTATACATAAATATATGAAAACATATAAGAAATATATAATAAAATAATATTCAATACAATTTTTGAGTAATGTAGTAAAATTTGTTGCAATATTATATTTATATATATATAAAAATTTTTTATTAAAAATAAAAAACTCAAACCAAAACAATAAATCAAACGCCAAAATTAATTAATATTTTCAGTGTACGTAAGCTAGGATTTTTGTACAGTTTGCGCATGATTTGAAAATCGGTGATTAGTTATACTATATATACTCGTACTATATAGTATAAAATATATTGTGGTCAGAATTGTGTTAAATAAAAATAAACCTTAAAAATAAATAGCAGGTTTCGTTAGTGCAAAATAATATTATTCATATTATTTTTATTAATAAAGTTTTGATTGGTTCAATTCTAGCAGATTGGTCTGAAGGAAATCTTAAGAAATGTATGAAGAATTGCATTTATAATGCATTGGTTTAGTGGTTTATTTCATAGAAACTATTGCGATTTTTTAAAATGTCTTTTATAGGTAGAAATAATTTAAAGTAATAAATATTGTAATGAAAATTGAAAATATCTATTAAATTTTACTACCTTGAGAAGCTTTGATTTGATACTACACCAAATAAAAACTCAGCTCAAATAGCAAAATGTAAAAATCTTGATCGGCAATTCAAAGTCACTAGCTGGAGGCATTTTTAGCACACTGTTTATACATATATTATATATTCTTTTGATATGTCTTGTATTATTAATCATATTAAATACGTATACATGTCAGAATATTTTTCTCATATCAGCTATTAATTTTGTAAAAAGTCTGTTCTTAACTATACCAAATCGTATAAAAATAGCTAACAAATATGTCTTGTATAATGCTTTCATATAATAGACTTTATCTCTCTCTCTCTCTCTCTTCGACACATTTATATTAAAATTAATTTTAGTAATAAATGTTTTCAATTGTAATTGTATAAATATAATGAAAACTAAGAAATGAATTGCATATTGCAATCATTATTTGAATACAAAATAAAATGTATACATTTATGCAAAAAAATAATTTCATGGCTTTAGTGTAATTTATATTGGACTTAATTATAAGTTTAAAAATGCCCAATGAATCCGCAAATAATTTTATAATTATTTCCTAATACGAGTATAAATAAATGTAAAATTTAAACAATATATATGTTTGTAGAATTTTTTTAACAGAATATATATTATAAACAGAAAAATATATTAGATATCGATGGTTAATATATAAAATTTTTAACACAATAAAAATAAAAGGTCACAAACATTTAACACAATAACAATAGCAATAATAAAATAATTCTTATATACATAAATTTTATATTATTTATTAAATAATTCTTTAATTACTTATAACAATTCATTTAGTATTAAAATTTAATGTTCATGTAATAAAAGTTGGTAATTTTAATTATTGTTGTTAAATATTTTATTTTAATAATTTATTTATATATATTTTAAGTTTAAAATATCTCAATTATTGATATATTTAAAATATTAATAATTATTTTTTGCATAATCGCTTTTAATATTAATTAACTTTCAATATATTTTTATGTCAATTATTGAAATATTTAATACTTTAAAAATTAATTTTTATATCAATACATTTAATATTAATGTTTCATATTAATTTAATTTTAGTTGTTAGTTAGTTTTTATTATTGTTATTAAATATTCTATTTTAATATTTTATACATTTTAAATATCATGAATTATTTTTCAATAATTTGATAAATCATTTATTAAAATATCAAGCAATTTAATGTTAATATCACTTTTTAACTTAAATTTTTAATAAATATTATATTTTAATTTCTATACGTTTAAAAAATTTTAAGTATCTCAATAATTTATTTTTCAATATTTTAAGAAATAATTTATTAAAATATTAATTAATAATAATTCTGTTTATTAACGAGTTAATTGTTTAATATTTTAATAAAACACTTATTAAAAATTTTTTTGTTTTTTAAAAGATGTTATTTCGATACTATTCTATATAAATAATTCTCAACAGGGTACTAATGCTAATACAATTCATTTAATGTTAATATTAATTTCTAACTTCAATTTTTTACTTAATATTTTATTACAATTTTGAAAATTTTTTTAATTTATATTAAATATTTTATAAATTTTTAAGATTTCTTAATTATTAATTTATTTAATATTAATAATTAATTTTTTTTATCAATTCATTTAATGTTAATGTTCAATGTTAACTTCATTTAAGTATTAAATTTTATTTATTATTATTAATATTTTGTTTTAATATTTTACAAATATTATAAATTTTAATATTCCAATTAGTAATTTGTTTTATTTTTCAAACATTTATTTTCAATATTAATAATTTTAATACATTTTAAATATTACTTTTTAAATTAATTTATTGATTTGCTTTTTATAATGTTTAAATAATTGATATATTTAATTAACAATTAATTAATTTTATTAATTAATTATTTTTAAGTATAAATATTGTAAATGTAATATCTTTATGTAAAATTTTTTTTTCAAGCAAAATCATCAGTTTTAAAGCAGTAAATTATACGATATTATATAAGTTTCTCCTTCTGATACACAATGAAAGTTTAACTAAAATGCTTTTTAGAGTTTTCAAGAATGTTAAAATCTTGATAAAATTAGCCTTCGAGCTCTTCACTCGGAATGTTGCAATACCCTGATAAAAATCTATTATTCGAATATTACTTCTAATCATATTTAAATTTAGTAATATTTCAGGATGGGTTATTTTACCTCTCAAGTTTTTGCTATTGATATTACTATTTAGCTATTTACCTACCCTCTGACTCTATTTGTAGAACATCAAATTAATAAATAATTTCAGTTTACTAATAGAAATATTCTTGTTTGTAACCTTCAACCCATTAGAAGTCCCGGGAGTACATGCAACATAGCGATGACTTTGTGAGAAGAACTTAAATTAGGGTCAGTATTGGACTGTCGATTTGAATATGACAGTGTTCAATAGAAATTGTTTGGGCAAACTTATGGTAAGAATTAGACTTAAGCAAGTGGGGTTGGTATACGATGCAATAGAAATTATTTGTGACGACCCTATGTGAAGAGTTTGCATACAACTTTATTAAATGGAAGTCATATTTAGGGTATTATTATAATAAGGTATACATGATATATGATATATATGATATATAAGGTACTAATATCAATATAGCAATATATATAATTCAATATATATGACAAAGAAATACAATAATGTTATACAATACAATAATAATGATTGTTACTGTATATATAAATAATATGACGGCCCTAAGTTCCTTATGAGAATTTAAATTATTTAATACAATACATATATAAAATAAACCTATTTCTTGATAAACAATTCCTTGCAAAAACTTTCAATATAAATTAAAATAGTTCATTTTTAAAATATGTATAAAAAAAAATTAATAAAAATAATAAGTCCCATATAATTATCATCTAAAAAGTTTAGTACAGAATACATGATTTACTGCTTTAAAGGCTAATTATTCAACAGTAATTTCTTTTAGTCAATTTTTTTTTTATAATAAATATGCATATAATAAAATTTCAATTCAAAAACGTGTAAATATTTCATTATAAGAAATATTGAAATTATTAAAAATAAATATATATTATTCTAACTGAAACTTATTTAATACCCAAACCCATTTTTTTTAATATAAAAAATATATTTAAATTTCGGTTAAAAAATATTTAATATATTTAATTATTATATTATTATTATAATAATTATTTTATATTAATTATTATATATTAATTATTATATTAAGTATCTATGTAAACTTATTTATTAATATAATTTGTTTGATATAAGCCAAGTATATTAGTGTATATTTATTTTTATGAATTTCTTTCGATTAATTTTAATGTTTTAATTTAATTTATATATTTATTTTTATTTATATACAATTGATTGCAATATTAAAATTGTTTTGTTAATATTAATATTTAGTAATGTTTATTTTAAATATCATTGATATATATATAAAATACATTTTAAAATAAAGTACAAACAGCCACCAGTATAAATACAGTTCCCTTAATTTAATATAATAAGAAATTAATTTAGTACTTTAAAGTTTTGAAGTTAAAAAGTAGTCATACAAAATATACGAAATTAAAATACAAACAAAAAAAAATACAGGAAAATATAAAAATATATTTGCAATTTAAATAAATTCATACATAAAGAATTTTATTTACTAATATTATGTAAAGCGACTAATAATGAAAATGTTTTGTTGAATATTTTATAAGTTGAAATATGTTTTAAAATATTTAATTTTAGTTGAAAATTAAATTATTTAATTTTATAATAGTGATTTTATAATTAAATAATTAAAAGAAATATATAAAATGTTGTCTATAATTATGTTTAAGCATTTATATTTAAAAAAAAAACATTTTTTAATTTAATTAGAGAATTTAAATTTAATTATAATTAAATTCTTTAACATTTTTTTTTCAAAGTGTTAGGTTTAAAGCTCTATCCAATTTCAAAGTATTTTTTTATTCCCTCTTTTTTTATTTAAAATTTTGGAAAAATTATTAGATATATATAAATATATTTTAAATGAATTAATTAGTTACTTGATTGTGTGAATAATCACGCTAACATCGCGTTACATTCTCTTAAAATCTTTAAATTTGAAATTAATATATTCCGTCAAAAACATACTTATATATATTATAACGGAATAATTCAATATCCTTTTAATGGATTTTATTCCTTTAAATAAAACACTTGTAACGCTAGATCACCCAAGTGATCACTATGTTATCTAGTAAAGGTGTAATTGATGTCCCCGCAATTTATACTTTTATAAATTCAATATTCTTTTTAAAAGAAACACTTATTACAATGGATCATACCATAATTATTGAGTAAAAATAAAATCTATATTTCATTAAGAATATACTTCGATAAACTCACATGAATAATTTAATATTCTCTTTACAGCTGTTCATAGAAGTGATAACAATCATTATTGAGTAAAAGTGCACTTCATATTCTATCACAGATATACTTTAATAAATTCAACTAAATAATTCAATACCATATTTAAATGGAACCCTTATATCAGTGAATCGCTCAAGTAATCACAGTTTTTATTAAGTAAAAGTATTTATTAATATTTATTAATGTTAATTTTTTTTTGCCGAAAGTGACGCATCTTGTGACGAAAAGAAACTATTTAAAAGTTTGAAGGGTTCGAATAGGAATGAAAGGACAACAACAAAAATTTTGTTAATTTATTAAAATTTGGCTGACCATACAGCGCTGCTTTGATTATTGCCAAATATCCATCATCAGTGGTCTTAGATATTACTCGATATTTAATTTAGTTTGTAGCCTGTATATTTTTTTTGGAATTCAATATCATATTTTAAAATACCCCTTATAATAGTGGATCGCCTAAGTAATCACAGTATTTATATGAGTAAAACTATAATCTGTATTCCGTTAAAATTATATTTTCATTGATTTACTTGAGGAATTCAATATCCTATTTAAATAGAATGCTTATGGGAGTGAATTATCCAATCATTATTGAGTAAAAGTGCAACTTTTATTCTAATAGGAATATACTTTTATGAACTCCACTGAATAATTCAATATTTTCTTTGAATGGGCACTATTTTGCAGTGGATCGATCACCCAATTACTATTGAGTAAAAGTGCTTGTGACACTTACTCGCGTTTTTTCAACAACACAGAAGTAAATAAATTCAAATGTTTATATATATATTACTAAATAGGTATTTAAATATATATATTAATATATTTAATTATTTTTCCAAAAAACATTTTACTAACTGTTCACTTTCAGCAAACATACTATTAAAGCACCTTCTCCTATGTCTGCTATGTCAAATCTTATTTACTTGACTTTCTCTATCAATTAACAACTAAATTTTTTCTATATTATGAAATTCTCAAAAATTCTCAGAAATTATTGAAATATTTTTTAGTGGCTTAATAATGGGCTAGAAAATAAAAAATTAACAATAATATTTAGCACCTTTAAAAGATATGCTAAAATAAAATAATTTAATAAATTTTTCCGAAAAGAGTTCAAGTTTATAAACAGAAAAAAAATTTTAATTCATTGTTATTAATTTAATTTGTTAATAAAAATTGTTAAAAAATTTATGTTATGATTTTTTCTTAAAATATTTTAAACAATTTTAGCCAATTATGTTAATGTTATTGAACAACAATATTTTTAAATCATAAATTTATTAGTAAATCGAATTGTTTTATTGCATTTACAAAATCTATGCTAAGAAAAACCATAATTGAACTAATAATTAAACGAATTGTGCATATAAATATAATAAAATTATTATAAATAAACTATTTCTATATTCGTGTATTGTAGTAGTAAATGTGCGTTTATAAGATATATAAATACTATAATCATATTCATTTAAATGTATTCAAGTAACAAAAAAAAAAACAAAAATAAAATAATAACAGAAAGTTAAATTGTATTAAAAGGCAAAACAATATTATAATTATATATATATACATACATATAAAAAATATTTTAAATAAATGATGTTGGTTGGAAATATAAAATTAAATAATTAAATAAATAAAAATAATAAAAATTTGCGAAATGTTGACTTTTAATGAAAATGAAAGTATTTTTTTATATATTTAAGATATAGCAGTTTATCTTAAAATCTCTTTATTTTATAATTTATTAATTTTTATATAATACATAGCTGAGTTTTACACATTTTTGCCATGTAGCCAATCTACAAATTCCTCATGAGTCCAATCGGCAAATTGATTTATACCCTCTTCGTCAGTGACTTCACCGCGTTTATAGCGCGCATTATGTGCATTTATTTTTTGTAGATTGTCACAGTATATAGCACGGCGACGGAAGTCTTCTATTAAAGAGTCATAGTGTTTCTGGTACTTCATCTTGTAGATATAAGATAAGAAATTAATGGTGAGAAAATTAAATTTAAACAACTTTTATAACTCTAATAATATAAGATATTAATTAGATAATTAAATTAATAAGATATTATATTTAATACTGAGACTAATATTTTTTAGTTAAAATTTTGATATTTAGGTGTTTCAAGTTCACTTTTTAAATAATATTATTTATATTATTAAAGGCTTATTTAGTTTAACTTATAAAATTTACTTTATAAAGTCGCCAATTTGCATTACTGCAGCCTTCACTGCTCTTTAACCCAGCCAAAATACAAAATACTGCAAATATGAAAAAAACACTCCTCATCGTAAAATCTGCGCAACTTTTCGTTTCGGTGGTCTTAAATGGACTAAGGTACTTCGTACTTAAATTTTTACAATTCAGTATATTTATTAAGAATTTTGATTTATTAATAACCAAAAAAAAAAAAACTCATAAATTTATTCTTGGCATTCATTTAATACAGTAAGTAGTAGATAACAATTAAATTAAATTTATAATTAAAATTTTTAAAAATAAAAATTTCTGTAAAATGTAAAAAATTATTTTAAATATCTTTCGCCAGTGTCATTGGCATCACATTCCTGACATGTCCATATTATTGTTAATACAGCGATTGTTTATCGCTAACCCAGAGACTGACCCATTTCGAGCTGATAATCATTTTACTTAAGACTTAATAACTTTTTAATATATACAATAATTATTTTAATTATCAATATTAATAGCAGCACAAATTGCAATAAAAATTTTAATAAAATTTATATTACAATATTATTATAATATATTGAATTATTAAAATTGAACGTATTGTTAATATTACTATAGTATGTTTATAATAGTGTCCACCTCAATGCTTATGTGTTTAAATTTTGTTGGGCTTTAGATCGTGTTTTTGAAAATCATATTTTTATATAATAACTCATCTAATATAAAAACATTTAAGATTAAATAAAAAATATCACAGTTGTTAACTTATGTATATATGGTATATATTTAACAGATCATCTTCAGATCATCTTCGTAGACCATCTTCAATGTTATTATAGGTGTTATAGGTAGTGTAGGCTACGTAGTGCAGGTGTAATGAAGATGTTCTCTCAAGTAGACCGAAATATCTGTCCAATAAATATATACATAGTTGACAACAGTGATATTTTTTAATTAATCTTAAGATATAATATAATAAGTTCAAATTAATATAAGATTAATAAAACATTAAGATTTAAAATATAATTAATAATGTAATAATTAATTTAAAAATTAAATTAATAATATATTTTTAATAAAATATAATAGTTATATAAACTGTAGACTAAAACACCACCTTACAAAACTGGGTATACTTACGGATGCAAACTGTAGATTCTGTGAAGAGAATGAGGAGTCGGTCACAAATGCGCTGAATAAAGAGCCAATAAAACTCTGTAAAGTAGGTTCTATACTACTTTTTATTGACGCAACAGGGCTTATAGACCTACTCTAAGCCTAGAAGAGTGCACAATAGACCCGACGGTCGCAGTGCTACATCCCCTAACCATAATAATAAAATAGTTATATAATATAAAATATAACATATAAATATAATACATAATAATTTGAATTTCTAATAATAATATACATATTTTTGGACGAGCTAATTGGTTAATTTTTTTTTTTAAATTATTTTTATTATTATATCAAATTATTTTTAAAAAATATATATACTATTATCTCCAATATTTTAACTATAGTCCATAGTCATCTTTACGGTACTGATATAATACTAATGCTTATAATACAGCAATAATTCAATAAATATGACAGGAAAAAATTTTACAAAAATAATGATAACAATAATAACAATGATTGTTATTATATACAAAAGAAATTTGGTGATTAAAACAATAAATTACTAAAACAATATACAGATACATTAAAACAAAAAAAAAAACTTATTTATATATATATAATATAGTGTTTTCACAGGCTGATTGGTCAATATTTTACTGTTGTTAAATATAACAATTAAAAAGAAAAACAACTAATTATTTTACAATAGTTTTTATTTAATTGTTATTTCAAATTAAGTCCAAAATCATTATCAAGATACTTAACAATATTATAAGAAAATACCAATTGATATATTTAATATATCATGATGCACAAAAAATATATGTTTATAACATATATATATGTTTTATATATGATTCAAAAACATATATATAAAACAAAACACTATAATTTGTTATTTGTTGTAAAATTTTATTTAAAAAAAACAATTAATTTACTTAATTTACTATCATAACAGAACACAATAATTTCTTATTTGTTATAAAAATTTATTTAAAAAAAAACAATTAATTTATTTAATTTACTATAAAACAAAACACAATAATTTGTTATTTGTTAAAAAAATTTATTTTAAAAAAACAATTAATTTACTTAATTTTCTATAAAACAAATACAATAATTTGTTATTTGTTATTTAAAAAAAACCATTAATTTACTTAATTCTCTATTAAACAAAACACAATTAGTTGTTATTTGTTATAAAATTTTATTTAAAAAAAACAATTAATTTACTTAATTTACATTAATCTGACTTACCTATATTTAAATTGAAAACAACAAACTTTCGTTCATCAACAACCTTATTACCTATATTAACTAACTAAATGTTACATTTTAAAGAATTGGGTAACTGCATTCACTCGCAATACCACAGAAACTATTTGCATTTCGCAAAATTCTCATGAAACCATTCTCACCCCAATTCGAAGAGTAAGAGTTTTTAATAATCCAATAGTCTTTGCCGTTTTCTGTACCATAACCTACAACAACGACTGAGTGATTGACATCATCTTGATTGCATTCATCATCATCGTAAATACCGCCCATGTATTGTTCAAATGAAATCGGTGCTGCATTCATAGAACACGCCAGTGGACCCAAAGTAGCTATAACTTCCTTCATTTTTTGTTCATCTCCAGGTTTAATACGTGCATAATCTCTAATCTGTATGCCAGTTTCAGTTTCATTTTGTTGGCATTGTGCGTTCTCCATTTGTGTGTAGGGATATTTATTCGCCAACGATATGCCATGATCACGTATATATTCAAATGCATATTCTTGAAAACCGCCATCACAACCCATGCTACCATACTCATCAGCACAATCCACTAGATTTTGCGTAGAAAGTGGCACAAGAAAACCAGTACGCCTAAAAAGATGTCCTTCAAGTGCACCTACCGTTGCAAAAGACCAACATGAACCGCAATCAAACCCTTGAAAATCTGGTGGAGTTACACCGCCACGCTGACGCCAATCAACTGATTCTGGTAGGTTATCTGTGTTAGCTTTAGCTGTTACAAAATTTGTGTGTTTGGATGTAATTTCTCTAGAGAGAAAGTGGAATTTTACTTGCAACTTTTAATTTCAATTTTAATTTACTTACTCTCCGGAATATGAGATTCTGGAACCAGTCATTTTTGCTACTTCAGCACGTGTTAAATCGGCCAATGGATTTATAGACATACGAAATGAGCCACCACCTGTCCCAGCATTTTTATTACCCAAGTCTACAAGTGATTTCTTTCCAATGAAGATTGCCTCACGAAATTGTCGCTCTTTCTCATCCGTGTAGACTTTGCCCGTTTGTTGCAAGAAGTCATCGAAATTTTTCACATCACATAATTTTGGAAATGTTTGCAAACTAGTACTTAATTTCGGTATAAAAATTAAATAAATTAACGCAAAAAGCAAATGAATTCGAATTTGGCACATATTCACTAAAAAACAAAAATAAAATAAATATACAAAAATGTGTTAATTAATGTAAATAGAAAAGAACAACAATAACATTGTTACTATTCAAAGAGATTTATGCATAGAAATATTAAAGATAAATTTAATTTCTTAAATGGTTAAAAGCAGCAATAATCATCACCAATAAAATCACTGCTTCCGCATGTATTAACCGCTGAATTCTTAAAAGAATTGAATAAATTATGATTACTAAGCACACAGTGGCGTAGCTACTAGGTTCCCCGGTACCTACAAACTATCTACATTAGCCATAAGACAAAAACTTATATTCTAACATAATATGCGGCACCCAACTACGGCTGTTTTCTTTATTTGTTTTATTTAACAATTTTTTGTTTAAACATAAAACCATTTGTTAATTATATTTTACCATTCGAAAAAAAAACAATGGATTGAAGGGGGTTTTGTTGTATTTTTGGCACTTCTGAGAATTTTGTTATAGTCAAATCTAGAATTTCACGGTCACATTAAGTTTACGTAAGAGATTCGAAATTTTATTGGTCAACTACCTCTTATATGGACTATAACGAAAATATTAATTTTTTTATTATACAAAATAGTTGTTGTTTTAATATTTTTAAGTTATTGGCTATAAATATATCATTGATTAATTTATTTTAATTTATTTTATTTAAAGAAGATTTGTGATTCTCTGAATTTAAAAATCGATTTATTTGTGAACGTATAATTCATCAGTAGAACTATTTATACACATAATAAAATAAACATATTTCTAAAATTAATTTTATTCCATTAAGCCATATATTTTAAAAATAAATCTTCAATTGGTTGGTTAATATATCTTTCTCTATAGACATAAATAAAAAATGAGATTATATATATATATACATGTTGGTTAAATACTTGAAGGTTTTTAGTATAATTTTGATAAAACTTTTTCACTATGATTGTGGAGAATGGTTATAGTTTTTGAGTTTTTCTCTCTATAGATTCATGGGGTTCTGTTAAGTTAATAGATTATCAACGTGAAAACGTGTTCACATCGGGAAGGATCTGATATAGCATCACGCATCATGGCATAGGTTGATGGTTTATCTTTAGATTGAGGAGGATGGTTTTAGTTTCTGAGTTTTCCTCTCTAAATTCATGGTGTTCTATTAAATCAATAGATTATCAACATGAAAACATCTTCGCAACGGTATAGCATCATGCACCATGATCTTGATATAGCATAGGCTGATGGTTTGCGTGTGAATATACCATGTTCATTGAGAACAAGAACATGGTTATAGTTCAAAGCATAAACACAAGAAAAAAACATAAATTTTTTTCAAGTACAAAAAAAATTTCAAATCCAAGCTATCCAAGCTATTTTCTTCTCGAGCATCGTAGTAGAGGTGAATTAAAAACTATATTCTGAGGGTTAATCAAATATTCAAATACAGATTATAAAGGAATATATAAAATGTTTTCAATTATCTGTTTACAAAAGTCAAAACACTCTAATGGAATTGGAGTCAGTACATCTGATCACCGAAACGTGTTAAAAAGTTTTTTCCAATAACTCAATAAATATCTTCCTTGAGGCCGTGATTTAAAAATTGTAAAACTTTAAGATATTTTCAAAATGGTAAAGACAATAAATTTTTTTAACTGAATTAATCAAAGAAAGGTAAGTATTCCAGTATATAAATAATTGCAGATGGATAGGCTTTTATTATTGAAAATGGAAGTAATTGTCATCAGAAATAACTAAGTATTTTATACATAACCTATATATACATAATATATAGTACATATACATAACCAGTAATACTCAATGGAATCAGAAACCATATAAAATATATTCTATATTCTACTCTCTATATTCCATTTTCAATATTCTACATTCTATATTGTTCATCAAGACGAATCGATTTAATGATAATCCTTAGCTTGTACTTTTGTCTATATATTGAAATTTTCTTCGTACATAATAAAGTTGATAGTTGAATGGAATTTGCTGTTGCAAAGAGGAAGAATAGACCGGATAGCATATACTAAGAAAATATCCTTTATTTATGCATGAACTGAACATTTATTTGAATGCATAACTCCCGATAATCAATTAAAATTTTGATATAAGATTATTATTTATTGGTAAAATAATAGTAAGAGAGTCTCTTCAGGTACATGAAGCAGGCACAATAGATCTTGAGGTTGCAGTGCTTTACAATATATAACATGCATATAAATTTATATATATATATATAGTATAATAAATGAAATTTATTAAAATCATGTCATATAAAACCAATATAAATTAATTATTAAAAATCGCCATACGTTTATAAATATGAATAAGTGTCTCCAATAACATGTATGTTATATATCATACATAAAGAGCTTACAAAAACTATTAGAGATTACTAATAATACTACTAAAGTTTTTGTATAGAGGATTTAAGTAACTCAAAACTGGAGTCAATTTATTTCTTATTTATCATTAAATTAGATATAATTTCATATATAATTTAAAAAAAAAACTATTAAAAACAGAAGAATGAATTTACAAATTTAACAATCTACCCACTTTGTATTTTATTATTATTTTCAAATATAGATTCGTAAAAATGTTTTTTTTTTACTAAAAATATGTATAAAAGTTTAATAGATCTTATTCTGCAATTAAATAAATCTCAAGTGGTCATAAATAGATATACGAACATAATTATTTAAAATTATCTTTTTACCCATTTTTTGATTTATGTTTTATGTCTTTAATAGTTATTTTATTTTTTTAGACGTTCATTAAATTTCAATATATTGATCATTAAAAATAAATAAAATATATTATTATATTTAACAATTAATCGTGACAATAATTATGAAATGTTTAAAGTGCCCCTGAGGATGTTGGAAAACCCGAAAAAACGATAAGTAAAAAATTAATTAACATGATTTTTATTTATATATCTATTTAACACTAGAATATTTAGATTTAATTACACAATCAAAATTAATTAATTTGAAAAAACTTGTTCACACTAAAATACATAATTACTCTTCTATATTACATGTTAATTTGTTGCTTAATATTGAACAGAAGTTCATGTCTGCCATAGAAGTATAGTAGTATGCTTTAAACCCAGATAACCTATATATGCATAGATGTCTAATGTCAACCTATTCCACAACATTGATTGTCGATTTTTGTCTAGTTCTTCTTATATATTGAAGTTTAAAACTATGTATTTACTTTTCATATTGATTAAAAGTTGACCATGTAGTGCCAACTTACATATGCAAATATGCAATCTCAAGCAATCTCAAGTAATCGAGGATTTACTTTTGATTAATGTGAACATTTTTTAGTTCGATATCTAGAAAACTAAACTATATTCACTTTTATAAAAAGTACTGTATCTGTACTTTTTTACAGATACAGATGCTTAAAGGAAATATTAACTGTATACAGATACAGGCACTGTTTTAAAAAAGTAGCTAGGCAAAGATACTAGAAGTAAAAAAGAATATTTAAGCTACGCAAAGGTACTATTTAAAAAAAAAGTAAAATACTTAAAAAAAACTACTTTTTATTAAAAAAAATAATAATATTAGTTATACACAGTGTGGTTTTTATAACTTGAAGGTATAATTTTCTATTTAATTACAGATTTTTCTTACAGATATACAAATATATATATTAATACTTAAAAATTGGTGTACCTATATAAATTATACATAGATATGCTGATAAAAAAATATTGTGATAGTAAAATATATAATATAATTATATATTTATATATAATTTATAAAATATGTATTATAACTTTTTTATAAAATATATAAAATTTTCATATATAACAAAAGATATTGTATATACATTTACATATATGCAACTTATCTATTGCATGTTTATGTATAATAGATATAGGTACATTTATATTTAAGCATATATATTTCAGCATTTAAGCATTATATCTATAACATAAATCTGTTATTAAAAAAATTTTTATATGTTTATTTATTAATTATTAAATAGCTTATAGCATATATTTATTATATTTTCTACAGTGTCAAAATTATATATTTTTATCCCGTAACGCTAGTAATTTATCAAATCACTGTTTAATCTAATTCTTCTTAGATTAAGAATTTGTTCACCAATGCTGCAATCCTCTCAGTAGGTGTGGATTAGATTTGATTTCTAAGTAGAATAGTATTTTTATTTTGTACTTATTGAAGCAAAATTTATTCGATAAATTATATACCCACTTAAAAATATGATTAAAACTTTTTAATATTTTTTTATACTTAGTATCGGAATATTCCTACCCAAAAGTGATAAATATATAGAATTTTTGTAAGTGGATACATGTAGAAGTCATAAACATCTTACAAAAACTATTATCTTACTAATTATACTACTAAAGTTTTTATATAGAGTATTTAAGTAACACATACAGTGTATATAATTATATATATATTAAATATATTATACAGAAAAATGATACATGAAATGAAATGTACCCCGAATTAATGCAGTTTTTGATTGCTTAATCTGGATTAACGTTTTTAATCGGGATTCATTTTTAGTGCAATTTTTATGTTAGATTGATAAATCTCGAGTAAAATGTTTAACACTTGAGTTTAATTTATAATGCTTTAGATATTTTGCTAGAGTAGCAAGATTACCCTGACATTAACAGCTGTTTTATATGACTTGATAGATAAAGTATAATTTAATTCGACTTATTTATTTATTATAGTTGTGCTAGATCGAGTGTAAATCAACATGAAATCCAATCGAAAACGTCATAAGATATAATTTATAACAATATGCACCTAAATAGACTATCCAGATATTTCTATCTAAGTATATAACAGCACTAACTATATCGATATCTAGCGTAGTGAAAAATTTTGTTTAAAAAAGCTGACTAAAAAATCATTTTTCAAACTGGTGTGCTTGGTGTTGGCCGATTTGTCAATCGGAGTTGCTATTATTAGCTTATGGAAAATAAGATTTAATATAAATTGAATCAATTAATTCAGTATTATCCAATAAAGCAAATTAAATATATTTGATTGTCACCAACTGCATTTATCACTAATTAATTTATTCTGATATTTTACATTAAGTTAAAATTAATCAAAAATTAAATATAATGAAGTAAAAATTTGCAATTTTACATTAAGACTGAAAAGTTTTCGGAAATTCTCATTTAAAATTCGCGCGCTGTATATTTTTCGATATTTTAAGTTTATGTAGTTTGGCAGCACTGTCCTTAATTACTATGCCAAAAATGAGCTCGATCTGTCAGACAGTTCGTTTACGGCAGCTGTTGAAACCAGTTCACCTCAGTAGTGCGTTGCGAAATGTCTTCGACGGTCGTACGACCGTCCTGGAAGGCTTTGTACCACTCATAAACTTGAGTTTTCGATAAAACTGATTCCCCATAAGCCTTTTGTAGCATTCGCAACGATTCTGCACACGAAATTTCGTTCGAAACACAAAATTTGATGCAAACTCTTTGTTCAATATTTTTTTCCATTGTTTTTTTCGCAACGCCCTACTGAGGTGAACTGGTTTCAACAGCTGCCGTAAACGAACTGTCTGACAGATCGCGCTCATTTTTGGCATAGTAATTAAGGACAGTGCTGCCAAACTACATAAACTTAAAATATCGGAAAATATACAGCGCGCGAATTTTAAATGAGAATTTCCGAAAGCTTTTCGGTCTTAATGTAATTTAAAATTGTATTTATTTTTTTCAACATTTGTTAACCTTCCTCACTATTAGAACCAGATTGTAATCAGTTCACAATTTCACTTTTGCACAATTTACACATATTTTTAATTTTATTTTAATTTATTGTAATCTGCAATCAAAAAGTTAAAGTTTGTAAAATTTTTATTTTAATTTTAGTACAAAAAAAATTTTTTTTTAACTTTATTTTTAGATATAGTAATAAAAACAAATTATTTTTAATATTAAAAGAATCTAAAGCATTCAAAAAATACGTCAAAGATATAGTTCTATATTTGTTTAATTGTATTAATGCTCATCCTAACACTCTTAAAATAAATGTGTCTATGTTCTATGAAAAAGAAATTTTTTAAAGGTTTAACTGCATAATTTAAAGTTTTTTTAGAATGCAACATTTATTACAGTAGATAATCCAAATGATCACAATGATTATTTTGTATATATTCCACTTTTTATATACTTTTATTAATGCATCTGAATTATTCAATATTATATTTGAATCGAACACTTATTACAGTGAATGACCTATTAATAGCAATTAATATTGAATACAATTTTACAATACAATATTTAATTAAATGGAATTAATATATTCCATAAAGAATATTCATTTAAAAACTCAACTGAATAATTCAATAGTCTATTTGAACGGAACACTTATTATAGCAGATCATCCAAACGATCACAATGATTATTGGGTATATATTCCATCAAATTTATTCAATATTATAATTGAATGGAATACTTATTCAATATTATAATTGAATGGAATACTTATTCATCTAAGTGATCACAATCATTATTGACTATTATATCATTTATATTGACTATATATCAAATGTATACTTTTATTAATGAATCTAAATTATTCAATATTATATTTAAATGAAAAACTTATTACAGTGAATCATTCAAGTGATCTTCATTATTATTAAGAAAAAGTGTGATTTTTATATTCCATCAAAAAACCACCTAATTGAACTCAACTAAATAATTCAATATCCTATTTCAACGGAACACTTATTATAGTGAATCACCCAATCACTTCTGAAGAAAAGTGCAATCTATATACCGTCAAAAATACACTTTAATAAATTTAACTGAATTATTCAATATTTTATTTGAATGGAACAATTATAACAGTGGATCACCTAAGTGATATTAATCAAAATTGAATAAAAGTGCTTTTAATTCAACAACAAAATTAATTTTATTATTTATTTTAATTTTTAAATAATGTTTTTTATTGTTTGCTGAGTTTAAGAAATAATAATTTTCACTTTAGTAACTATTATATATATAACTATAACAATAACCTTTAAAGTTTAAAAAATTTATTGCTAATTTTAAATTTTTAACTTTATTAACTATTTTATATAAATTTAACAAAAATTTTTAATTTTTATAGAATTTTTTTATTTATTATTTAATTTTAAAACTTTATTTTTAACTTCATTAACTATTTTATATAACTTTAAAAATAATTTTTTATTATTAAAAAAGTTTTTTATTTATTTTTAAATTTTAAAATTGTACCTTTTACTTCATTAACCACAGTTTTTTATTTATTGTTAAATTTTATATATATATATTTTTTATTTAAGCAACTATTTTTTACAAATTTAACAATATTCTTTAAAGTTTAAAAAATTTATTGTAAAATTTTAAAACTTTATTTTTAACTTCATTAACTATTTTATATAACTTTAATAATAATTTTTTATTTTTAAAAAAGTGTCTTATTTATTTTTAAATCTTAAAACTGTACCTTTTACTTCATTAACCATAGTTTTTTTATTTATTGTTAAATTTTAAAATTGTACCTTTTACTTCATTAACCATAGTTTATTATTTATTGTTAAATTTTAAAATTATATTGTTTACTTTAGTAACTATTTTTGTACAAATTTAACAATAACCTTTAATGTTTAATACATTTATTGTTAAATTTTAAAACTTAATTTGTATCTTCATTAATCGAAGTTTTTTTTTTATTGTTAAATTTGTAAATTATAATTTTTACTTCATTAACCATTTTATATAATTTTAATAATAATGAATTTAGTATTAAATTTTGCAATTTTAATTGAACTTAATTTTGGATTTTATATAAGTTCAGTATATATGTATTTAATTTATTTAATTTGCATAATTTTTGCGGATAATCCAAACTTAAGCTACACAAAAAAATAATATTGTGCAGTTTATTTTCAATTTATTTGAAATACTTTTTTTTATTGTTACATTAACCCTTTTGAACTGATTTATTTGAACACCACCATAAATCACCATAAATTATTAATTAATTAATTATTTAAAAATAATTATAAATTTTGTATTTCACTGCACTAATAAATGCAAATACAATTAAAAACTTTTTTATCCGCACCTCAGTGTAAATTTCTTTTTATGAAGCACAAATTTCCGAGTCAACCGTTGAGGTCTCCAGAGCCGCGGCTACGTTTTATTACAACAACCGATTCGATCGAAATAAATCGATTTTTAGTTTTGTAAACCTTTTTATAATGAAATATTACACACATAAAAACTTGGTAAAAAGTCAGTTTTATTGCCACAACACAACGGATAAAAAAATTACCCGCAGCCGAAAAACAGAAACAATTTCAGGAAAAAAATCTAACAAAATCGCTTTAATTATGCATAACATTTTATGTATTTTTTGTTCGGCGGTGATGATTTTATTCCGCAATATCTCAGCTATTTGTCATCTTTGGTTACGAATGCTAGATAAAATTTGTAGGTAGTTATGAGTACGACGGCTAAAGACAGTGGGGGCTACTTGGACAACTTGTCTATGAGATTGAGCACGATTTTTTGTTTATTTGATTATGCAGCCACAAATTACGAATTTCTGATTTTCTGAATTTCTGAAGTACGGCTTCGAAGAGATGCTTACGTTTAAGATAAAGATACATTTTTTTTGACTTTTGTTTCAGAAAGCATAATTATGTGAGTGTGTTAATCGGTTCGCTAGCCCATATGTATGTTATCTGTTCAAATGCGAGTAGGTATATGTATAAATGTATGTACCGTATCTGCTACGTCTCTCGTGGTTACTACGTAATTATGTTAATTTCATTAATGAAATTATTGATTGGAACTCTCCTCATCTGAATGTTTCAGTCATTGGCTTATTTCTGTTTATTTTAATTTATTAAAGCTAAATTGGTTGAAACACGTTTCAATCATAAGAAATTAATCACAAAATAATTTTACATAAATTGTTAAATTGATTTAGTTTCAGTATTTTTATGCTATTTTAATTCAATAAAAAATTTTATTCATTTTGTTGTGATTATGATGTTTAACATTTTTTTTTCCATTTTTGGAAAGTTGTATGATTTCTATATGCAATTTTCATCTTTGGCACTGATAGAGCATTCCCATGATTTGATAAGGCATTTAATTTGATTGTAATTGAGCACCAATTTTGACTCGTATTGCATAATTTTGATGAACGGACTCTAAAAAATGATTTAATGTCTTTTTTCTTATCGTTTGGTTTTGCTATTGTTTCGTTAATTGATTTTAATTTTTATCTTTAAGTTTGAACTTTTTCCTACTCACCACTTACGTTAAGCATTCATCGTATCTCAAATGGTAAATTCATTAAAAAAATTATTTTGTTTAATGTTAAATTTTTTCATATGTTATATTAATTATTGCGAAATATTTTCCGGGGCAATGTGCCAGTCACTGTAATTATTTCTTATATATGTTTTACACTTATTTTAATTAGGAACTGGGAAATTTGTTAACAGATACTATATTTAAACGAATGCTCGTTTATTATTTTAATTTTAAAGGAAATATTACTTTGTTTTTTAAGTACTGTTAAAGTGGTTATTCAAAAAATTATGCATATTTTAATAAATTATGCATAATAAATACAAAAATTTTTATATATTTTTTTACTTTTGTTTCATGAATAAAACGGTCACTAGTTTATTTAAAAAATGGAAAATTGGATTACGAGTAACTAATAATTAATTATGGTAACAAAATTTTGAAAATAGTTTTTAAAATATAATTAATTAATTCAATTATTCTACAGTTGGTTTATGATTTCATTCCTAATTTCTTAATGAACTTTCTCAGCAAATTAACAAAACTGAACGCTGACTCTGAGCTTCAAATATCACAGGGCACAAGCTCAACCCTTGTTACCTGTAATAGTTGCTTTCAAAACCACTGATGATGGGTATTTGGCAATACTTGAATCAGCTATATGGTCAGCCAAAACTTCAATTAATTAAAATAATATAAAAAGAATTTTTGTTGTTGTAGATCACTACTTTTCGAAAACCTTTTACCAAATAGAAATGTTTCTATTAAATAAAATAGTCACCTTCGTCATGACTGACGTTAAATTACAACTAAAAAAAAATTTTAAATAATGCAATATACAACTGTTTCGAGCATTACCAAAGTAAACCAAAGTAGTCTTTTACCAAAGTAAAAGACTTCGAAGTAAACTTCAATGGTGTTTAGAAACATTTTTTGGAACCTAATAGGTTAGGTTAGATGAAGTGAAGGGAGGCACGAGTCCCTTTCAATTAACTTAAAAGCCGTTTTGATTCCACAATTCCTCGTAATGGTGCGTAGGAGATTGTTTATGTTAGAACAAATCGAAACGTTGAAAAAAAATAAAAACCTGGCCAACGCTAATGCTGAAAACGTTGCCGAATGTGTTGAAGAGTGGGGCACACAGTAATTTAAGCTTGGCTCTAGACAAACTTGCCTGCCTATAATTCTGAACTCATTTCACGAATATCTTTACGAGATCGTTACTTTATAGTTAAATAATATTCCCTGGTAACAGCTTGGATCGGCGAAAGAAATTAATAAAGCACCCTACCACGATAATCGAAGAGAACTATTAAAATTACTTACACTTTTAAATCATATTGATTCTTCGGGTCTTGACTTAACCACTGGATGGTATTCGGTTGATGGATCATTTATTTCCGGTCATAGATACAAGTCTTATCCCCAGTTATAGGCTAGTCAGAAATTTATTTATGCAAAAACATTGAATGCAACTTCTTTGGTCGACAAAAACGGCCATTACAACAATTAACTAATAATTTTTTAAAATGATTCATTTACTATCTAACTTTCTGAACCTAACTAAAATATAACATAATTCTCTGTAAGAAAAGTTGGCTCTCTCTAAATAGAATAAATACCTGGAAGGTAAATGATGATGTACAATGTTCGCAGCTCATCTGCTTGTTAAACATGAGAATAAAAATTAAGGGTCTAGAATTTTACTTTTGTTTTGAATATGGTTAATATTGTATAAGTTTCAAAGCGGTCATGATAATAGTCGGATCCATACTATAGTTGAGATTTACATATAATAACTGAGTAATTATTTTGTCGAACACAATTTATATAGAATTATCGTATTTTGTGATGATTTTGATATATAATGTGTAAAATTTTAATAGTTTAAGTATAGTTTAAATATAACTGAAGTTAAAGATATTTAAAATAAATATTATTAACGTCCTTTTTCTTTTTTTATTTTTCAACGATTTCATATTAATTTACGTCTGCTGAGCTCAAATTTGCAACTCGTCTCTTTTTCCCAGATAGCCAGGTCTCTGGCAATAACTGGTTAAAGTTCAAAAACAATTTATATTGCGGGTTTTAAGTAAAGTTCCTAAGAATGAATAAATAAACAGTTTTATCTTAGACATTTTTATTTAAATTTTCTTCCAAAAAAAATGATAGCTTAAAAAGAAATAAAATTTTTTTTTTTAAATATGATATTTTGAATTTGCTATTTTTATAAAAAGCAGAATCAGAGATAAAAAATATTTAATTTAAAATTATTAAATTTAATTTCAAATAATACTATATACGTTTTTCAATATATACAATATAATAAGAAGAAAGAAAAAAGCTTAAATTAAAAAAAAAAATTATTATATATTCCATATTGAACTAGGTCATTGGAACTTTTAAATTATTCAAAGGGGCTATAAACTTTATTTAAATATTTCAAATGTTGTAACTACTTGAAAAATAAACTAGCAAATACTGAAATAACTCGTGTGCACAACAAAGCAGAGCAAATAATTCACACCTCAGATGCGATTTATCTTATCAGACAATAATTCTACTTAACTTATCGGCATCTTGCAGCACACGATCGCTTACAATGCGAAAGAATACTGTGTATCTGCATACACGGTACACGTTACACGGTAAAATTGTATCCATGGATGTGTACTGCGAGATACTTCAGCTAATTTCACACTTTGTTTGGAAATATTGTTGGCACATTGGAGTTTGCGAAAGTTCTTATTTACCTTATTGCGATATACTGATATGCTGATATGGTTGAGTACTAAGTGCGAGCAACTACTCGCGACGAGATACTAACTACACTAACTACGCTTAGCATATTAAGTAAAAATCACAAAATAAACAAACTCTCAATGGCGAAAAAGATTAGAATTCTTGTAAATTAGTACAGAAACCAACAAATTTTATGGTATGGAGAAATTTTATAACGGAACTCGTTAACATAGATTTTGCCATATAAATATGGGGTAATTGCGATTTTCCATTTTAGTCAAGTTAAAATTTTAATAGTGTTAAGGTTTGAGAATAATAGATTTTCTTCAAAATATGTGGAATACATTTAAATTTCTTACCTTTTGGGTTGTAATTTTTGCTATTAGTGTTCATTTTAAGCCAAGTGAATGTATCTCACATGCAGTGTCAGACGGGGATTGGCTACAATATAAGGTAATTGTGAAAGTTCCTTATGGGTCTAATGAGTGCAAAATAATAATTAATAATTAATAAAAAGGAATGTGATATAAAATAAAAAGTTGAAAATACTTGCTGTGAGATTTTTACTCAATAAAGAGAGAGTTTATTTAACTGTCCTTAATGTTTCTTAAAGAATTACTAACAACCACAGGACTATAGTGTAAAACTGCAATTAAATTCATTATAACTGATTTGAAACTATTTTTAAAATTAATAATTTGAAGTGCCTATTTTTAAATACTCGTAAATGCTTAAAGGATATTACACTTTACTAGTTTAATCTTATCTAAGTAATATTACCTATGGAAGCAAGTCTCACACCCTTACAAGATAAAACAGTTTTTTGTAAGGATTGTCTAAAAACAGTCTATTTATTATTAATAGACGATAAGAGTTATAACAAAATTGGAGTACTCAAACGAAATCAATAAAATCTAATTTTCATAAAGTGGTTGTAGGTTTTAGTATACAGAATATCTAGAATATTAAAAATATCTTGTAATTTTAAGATACATTCTATTCTATTGCTAACGTTTCAAAGTTTTTTTGATTTTTTTAAATAATAAAAAGTAAAAGAAAATATTTAAAAATTACAAAACTGTTTTAATTTTCTCAGATATTCTGTTCACTAAACCCTATAAATACTAAATTAGTAGATTTCTGTGAACTTCAATAAACTAGTTCAGATTTATTTAAAAATTATTGTTGGATTTTTTTATTTATAATAATTTTAACAAGAGAATTATTGGTTTTAAATTATAGCATATATATTACATTATCCTTATATTAACTAGATATAGAAATTGAATACAGCTAACCACTGTACAAAGTAGTTGATCCTTAAATAAATATAATGGTTTCAATTATATATAAAATACTAGAACTTCAAATATTTTTCAAGCTATTTGAAATTATAAATAAATATTATAAAATTATAATTTAATTATAAATATTTTATATATTTTATAAACCATTTACTTTCTTTAATTTAACACTAAAATTAAATTTTAAAGTTAACTAAGAATAAAGAACGAGACTACTAGTTTATTTGCCCATTACTTTCTTTAAATATTTTGCGAGACTTCAATATCACTTTCTGATAGCTCTTTAGAGTCATGTAGAAAAAGGGATTCAATGTTTCTTCTTCTTAGCATATCCCGTAAAAATCTTTAGTTATAACTCCAAACCTTTGTGTATGCTTGTTTATTAAGCAATGACCACCTACACCAAATTTAATATTACCGACTTCAGTTCTATTCAAATAAATTGGTTTTATAGTTTTAAAAGAGTTAATGTGAGGATAGCCAGATATATTTAGTTTTATCACAAGTTCACTAATATTCCCACTTAAATTGTTTTTTTTTGTTTTGAAGAAACCAGAGTGTGTTCTAGATTTACCTTGTTGCTTTGTTATGCAGATGACGGAGACATTTTTGTATCTGCTAATTTCACTTAGAAATATGACACAGAATAGGAGTACTTTAGGTCTAATATATGAATAATGAAATAGCCTATGTCAGTTAGGAATCTAATAACTCTTTCTGAGATATGTCTCACCAACAGTATATTAGCAGCAACTTTAAGCACCACAACCTGTATATTTCTATTAAAGAATAAGAAAATCGGAATGCTTGGAAACTACGAAAAAGCTAGAAAATGCCTTAATGACACATATATACCTATAGGTTAGAGTTATATAAATAGCAGAAGAAAATTGATGATAAATAGCAGTTATTGTAATATTTGCGAGTAAAGTAATTAAAGAAAACAAAGTTTTTAAAAAAATTGCAAGGTAATATTATATTTCTTGGTTGTATATATCGATAGTTTTTTAAAGTAAAGAATCTTATTTGCAGAAACTTCATATATATAACTAAATCTTCCTATTGCTTAAGAAACACTTTTTAATAACTAACCAATTAATTACATAGAGACATAATGCTATAAAAATTATATATATTTTCAGATAAATTAATAATTCTACAGAAATTATATATATATTTTTATTTGTAGTTAACTTATGGGAAGACCTATGCCACAACACAAGCTGATGCACTTGCACGTTACTATTATAGTTACAACTTGAAACTAATTAAGAAACATAATCAGAATTATGACAGAAAGCTAACGACTTTCACACTCAAAGCTAATCAATTTACAGATATGAGATTGACACAATTCAATGCACTATTTCCACCGGCAGTATATCCGACAATGACCTTCGATTTTCCATTAAATACAGTACAAAATCCACCAGCTACATTTAACCCCTTCACCGATCAAGGTCTAGTATCAGAAGTTGAGGATCAGGGTATATTATGCAATAGTGGTTGGGCTTATTCTGCAGCAAAATCTATAGAAATACTGCAACAATATCAAGGAACGTTAATACCACTATCTGCACAAAATTTGATTGATTGTTCTGGTCGTTCTACTGCTTGTCGGACGCAAGTACCACAGACAGGTTTTGATTATTTAACAATGTATGATCAGGTTATATATTCAACGACCGACTATCCAAATAATATCACAATCAGTGAACAAAATATGTGCATCATACCTCCTGCACCAATCACAGGTACAAAACTGAGCGCATACTCAGTTATTACTGATGGTGATGATGCTACGATGTTGAGATACGTTGGCAACAATTATCCTGTGGTAATTGAATTTAATCCAACTTCATTCGAATTTATGCACTACGCTGATGGTGTTTTTCAACAACCACGCACCAGCACTGGTTCACACTTCATGGTAGTCCTTGGCTATGAGGAAGATGCAACGTCAGGTCTGAACACTTGGTTGGTACAAAACTCTTTCGGAAAAACTTGGGGAAAGGGCGGACGAATAAGTATTAGACGGGACGCAGTTACGCCTTTAGCAAAACATGCTATATTCCCAGCTGAATTAGCTTAATTATTAATTATTAAGTATTAAGTATTATATATATAAATTTTTTATTTTATGTTTTATATTTTAGAGCGAAAAATTAAATAAATTAAATTGTTTATAAAATCATTTTTCACTTTATTTTTTTGTATAAATAATAATTTATATTATTATAATTTTTAATAATTATAAAGCAAATTAGTTAAAACTGTTTCAAGTGGGTACATAGTACAGTAGATATATTTCATCCTGTAAAGATATATTTCATACCTACGGTTAAATCTCAAACTCTTACAGAATTAAAAGTTGTATAATAATATAATACCGAAGAGGTTTCTTCGAACAGTAGTGAATTACAACAACAAAAATTCTTTTTTATATTATTTGAATTAATTGAATTTTTGGCTGACCATACAGCTGTTTCGAATATTGCCAAATACCCATCATCAGTGATTTTGGCAATAATACTTGTATTTAATTATTCGTAAATAATTATTTTTGAGACTGCAAGTACCAGGATTCGAACTCGGGTCCTGCCAAATATAATACCTAAATAAGAGATTACAGAATTATTAAATAGAGTAAATAAAAAAACATATTTAAATTATTTTTTAATTTTTATGGAAACTCCAAATCAGTATTTAAGTCAGTCATTAAGGGTAAATAATAAAGCAACTACTAACTTCTAAAAATATAGATCGTTTCAAATATTGGTTTTAATCTTAAAAATAAATTTAAATTATGGAGGATTAAAAAATTTAACTTTTTAGGAGTTTTGTGATATTATTTATGAGTCTGTTTTATTAATTACATTATGTTGTTAGGATATAATCTTTAAGACTGTAAAACATGTAATAATAGAAATGGAAAAATCATTACATGCTAAAAGTCGTTTATGGTACAACTTGCATAGGTGGAGCATATATAATTTCTATCAAATTATATGTTATAATAATATCATTGATAACAAGAATATAACTGGCTACAAAATCAGGAGTAAACCATCGCAATGTTGCAACAAATATGGAACAATAGCACTCAAGGAAAATGGACAACTACACTGATACCAAATACAATCACCTGGTTTAAACGCAAATCGAGAGACACAAATTACTATCCCACTCAGATTCTAATCAGACATGGATACTTTTGTAAGTACCAGTAACGCATGGGAATGACAGATCTATCCGACTACATTTATAGCGATGAAGACTGTGAAGACGGAGAGCACACTTTCTTTTACTGTAATAGGTGGCACACATTTAGAGAACAGATTAGAACAGTAAATCCCGAAAATATAGTGGTAAAGATGAGAGCGAACCCAGAGAGCTAGCGAACGATAGAGTCATATGTGATTCTAGTCCTCAAAGCAAAGAAATTAGACCTATAAAGACGAACCAAAACCTAGACTTATTAATTGTACAGTCACCAAGAAAATGTGGTGAAGAAGTAGAGGTCTGAACGCAGATAGAAAATCACAAGCGCATGGCTTGAAATGCCAACATAAAAGAGACCTTCCTCGAAGTAATGTGGAAGCGGTTCCGACGGGTAAAAAGTCTCGCGGAAAAAATAATATAATTAATTATAATTTTATTAAATTTCTATAACCTATTAATTTTTGATATTGATATATATATTCTTTTGTATTATGTTGAAGCTATTTGAGCCAGTGTACTTGAGCACTTTTACTCTCTATTAACTGCTTGTTTATCACTTCATCAGACTAAGCAATAACTGACCTCAGGTATGCATACCTCCCCGAGAACCCTGTAACTATTCTGAGATTCGATAACGTGGCGCTGATGAGTCTGTCTGTTTTCGTAATTGAAAAAGTGGTGATGAGAAAACCATTAAATACTGAAAGTTGTTTTTGATTTATCTTAGATAGATGGAGTGCTAAGTCGGATACATATAATATCTTTTTAATAATTACAGAAGGTTTAATATATCACTGAAAATTCTTTTCTTAGGAGTAAGAAATAATTTCAAATAGAATTTGTTTTGTTTTTGTGAAAGTTTATAACTTTTTCTGTATTTATTTGTTTATTGATTTCATCTACAAGCGGAGCTTTACAGACTTATACACTAAAAATTAACAATTTTTTCATATTAATTTAATATAATATAATTTGATGATGTTATTTGTTCGCTATTTTTTCTTTTTGTTTTTCTTTTTTTTTTCTTAAATAAAATGTTTAACAAATTTTGTCATAAACTTATCAACAACAATTATGTATGCTTGCTGAAGCAATGAATTATTTGACGAAATTGAAATTTATTATTAATTTTATTTTTATTTAAATTTTTAAAACTTCAAAAAATTTTCAATTCAACCCAAACGTACTTATTGAATCTTAAGAAAAAATTTATAATTTTCTGATTTTCTGCTAAATAAACTAAAATAATAATGTAATGTACTAAAATTTTTTTATTATTAATTTTTTGTTTTTAATTTTAAAATATATATATTGTTAACTAAATTTTATTATTAATTAATATTTATTAATTTTTTAGATCAGATATTTTGGTGTGTTGTTTTTAATTTTTAAAGCAAAGCTTTTGAATGATATGATCAATGATTTGTGAATTTTTGTGAGTATATATTTTTTTTAAAGAATTTTAATTGTACAATTAATTTGTACAAAAACAATAATAATATTTTTTTGAAATTTTCTCTCCCCACTTTAACGTACAAACAAATTAAATTAATTCTAATTTGAAAATAAATATTGTTTTCTTGTGTGGGTGATGACAATATTTAACAAACTTTAAAAATTATGGTTTTTTTTTTTTGTTAAATATATCGCGCAACAAATGAATATATTGAAGGCATATTAAAGCATGTTTACGAAAATGTTGCGCAGCTTATTAGCAACATGCTGCTACATTGTTGCTGGACATAGAAACGACTCTCAACAAATTTTCATTGAGATTTTTAATATTAGTCGTTTTTATTTTTAGTTCGCCTTCTAGTTCATAAAATAACTATAATGTGTTTTTTGTGAAGTTTATACTATAATGAAATGGATTTAAATTTTATTTTTTTTTATTATTGAATTCAATATACTTATATATTTTTTATTCAAAAATTTAACATTTAAATAAATTTTATTAGTTTATCTAAAAGTTAAGAATTTTATTATTAGATTAATTATTAAATTTAGATTATTTAATTTTAATAAATAATTTTTTATAATTTTTTAGTAATTAAATTTCTATATTAAGTTTTAATATTTTCATATTTTAGTTTTCGGCTAGTGTTGTTTTACTTTTATAGTTTTTATATATTAAAAATTATAAAGTATATCTACATAAATTTAAATTTATTAAATATTAATTTTTTGACTTTAACTAAATGAATATTTTTTTATGTATAATTTTTTTTTATTATTAATTTAACCTTTTCTAATTATATATATAGATATATATAAATATATGTATTATATATATATATATATATATATACATATATATGTTTTTAGGTTTTTCTTAGCTTTAGAATTTGTTGTGGAAAGGTGTTTAAGTATATTTATAACAATATAATGTTTGTATGCGTGTTGCTTTAAAACGTTCATATAAGTATGTGTGTATGTAATAAATTGTTGTGTAGATTGAAGACGTGTAGTATTAAAAAATACAAAAATTAAAGATTTTAGTAAGTATACTGTATTGCTTTATGTATCTCAAATAATTGTTTATAAGTTTTAATACTTATTGTTTCAACAATAAGCGAAATACTTTATTAACTCTAGATGCAAGCAAATATTGCTTAGTACGGCAGAGTTAAGTTACATGTTGCCAGTTGCATGCATCATATCAAATGTTTAATTAACAAATATAAATAATATTAAAAAGATGTATATAAAAGTATATATATGAGAAACATCCAATGTTATAACACAATTTAAATTAAATGAAATACACGTTAATTTATTTGAAAAATTATACTGATGGTTTTGATATTAAAAACGAAATTAATTTTGATAATTATGAATATTTTTCGTTATAATATTTTTTTTATTAACAAATAACTAAATAAATTATTATTCAGGTGGGAATGGAATATATTGTTAATTTAATATATATTAAAAATTAATTAAATTTATTTTAACTCTTCCGTACAATACAATAAACTTATTTTTTATATTTTAATTTTATTTTCTTTTTGTATATAAACTAAATGAATAGAATTTTTGAAATTTTTTTTTTATTCAAGACAATTATTATTTCTAAAAGTGGCAGTTTCGAAAAAATATTTTTTTAAATATTAAATTACTTTAAATTACATAAGTTATTTGAATACTATTTCTTGGCTTTAACAGCATCAATTCTATATAACAATATATAATTAAGCAGATGAATAAAATATATATTAAGCTATTTTTATTATTATGTGAAAATTTTAAAGTATATGAATGCATTATTAATACTCTTTATATAATACTAAAACAACAAAAAATTGTTATAAGTAAATAATAGTTTTTTCTAAAACAACAGATACATACGATATATATCAAAATAAATGACATAAATTATATTATGTTAAATTAACTTATAAATATATAAATATAAAACAAATATTTAAATTATAAATAAAAATAAAATAATTTATATTATGTTAAATGAAATAAAATTAAATTAAATTATATATATATAAATTAAATTAAATTATTTAAATTATAAATTACAAATGAAAAAATTCCAATGTGTTCGAAATCCGTTTAAAATTATTTCAACATTTTTTTTTAATTTCATTTTCTTAAAGCACTATAAGATATTAAGAAGTTTAAGTGATAGCTGTGTTATGGTATTCAATATGAAAATAAAAGAAACTGGAATATATGGCAGTATATAATTCAATTTTCGAAAAAAATTTAAAGTATTTTCAAAGATATATTATTATATATCGTCAAGCTCGTCGTGATTTATTAAAAATTTTTAATTAGAATTTTTATTGACAATTTTTAATAATAATATTAATATTATTATTTTAATATTTCGAGCTCCAATATATCTTTTTATTATTT